ACGCACTTTGTCACACCAAACTGCAATATTCCTATTTAAATACTTTTTATGCTTGTTTAAGAAATGAATTAATTATCCGATGAAAGAACTTTGCAAGTTATGTTACCAAATATTATTTCCAAACATTTTTGTTCAAGATAACGAAAGCTTATCTTCCCGTGGACGATTTTTAAATAAAAAACAGGCATATGAGGCGTGAGCTTAAACGGAACCGTACTTGTAGGAAGAAAATGTGCAATATGGTGTACGATTGTGCTGTTTGATTTGGGCTTTTGGCAAACTAGTTGAACACGCTATTTCCTCCCACTACCTTTCCAACGGAATACTGAAAAATTCAATCACTGGTTGGGTTAATTTTTCCATAAAAAAAGTAAGTATGCAAAAGTCTTCGAACGATATTGGCGAATGCAGTATTATGAGCAAATATGATGAGTATAAAATCCATAGTGCTAAAGGAAAACCATAGTACTAAAGACACCAAAGCGCTCTTCAATGGAGCGTTCCCGTTCCCAAAAAGCACAAATGCAAAATTTTTGTTCAAGGATAACTTTATCATCTCGATACAAGCGTTCAGTGTTTGCAGTGTCAATTACAGGGCATTGCTTGATATCACAAAGTTTTCATCCGAGTGTTCGATTTACTTAGCTTTCATTGCTATTTTCATAGGCTCAAGTAAAGTTAACTCTACCGAGTTCCTCCTGACTTAGCAGTATCCGGTGAATGAGGTTAATGCTTTGCGCATATTCTCACAAAATTTAAAAATGTAGAAGCTGTCAAGTATTTTATTATACTCCTCCACACAGTACACGAACACATATTAGAGTTGTTACATTCAGTAAGTTTTTGTAAAGGAGTATCAACATTTTAACTGTGGCTGCAACACCGTCATCAAGTGCATTGTAGGCGTTGGCGCTAAATGTACAACAAGCCACACGGAAGTAAAACATTCTTTAATTTGTGCTTACTTAAGTAATTTGAAACATTTTATTGTAATAATTAGAATACTATTGAATAGGTAATTAGGGAAGAGTAGAAATTTGACTGAAGTTGTCAAACGTTCACGTTAATAACTTTTGAAATATTCAATGGGGATGGAGGAGTAGAGATAACTTGAAATGTTGCAAAGCATGGAAATCTACAGCTTTGCTTGTTACAGCAACTTGAGTGGCATCATGTCTCTCAACATTGCTTCAACCGTTTTAGATACGCTAAGTGGTTGGGCATAGAATGGAGTCGTCCGAGTACTTCAAGTTAACAAAATTATGCATAAATCGAAATCGGTATGTGGTGCTTGAGCCTCTATATATAAACGAAATCTTCATCTTCAGATCCACATGACTGTCCATCGAAAATATTTCCAGATATTTTTTGCATCAATTGACGAAAAAAAGTGACTTGCATTTCATATAAAAAATGATTATTCCTTGCAAAAGCCTAACTGAGCCACACAATTAATTCCCTTTCCACGGATTCGCATCACACAGAATCTGTTGAAAGTTTGAAACAGATCAAGTTATAAGAAGTATTGCAAACTCATTGATTTTCCATAAAACTTCACTAATTTTTCAACCCTTTGGTTCTTATACTATTTTTATGCATAGCTCAATTGCATTGCATATTTTTATCACCGCAAGAAATTGTAGTTCAGTCATTTTATGACATAGATTAGATTGGTGGTATTCGAGTAATTATGCAGTCTACAAACCTCATCACGTTTAAACTCTAACATTGCAGATGAAATATATAACAGGTAGAAAGAAAATTCTACATGAAAGCACTGTAAATCACCGTAGGGCATTGCCTAGGGATTGTAGAAGTCTTAATTTAAGGCATGTCAAAACTATCACACAGCCAAAGAGGTAAGAAACGGTGTCATAGGCGCTATTTAAAATTGTAATCACCGAATAACTCGAAATACTTAAAACTGAAAAAGGCAATATTGCTTTTATCGAAATGACAGTAATTTTGTCATTAGACCCAAATTTTCGATTACACATTGCCAATTTTCAACCATCGTGGATATTAGAGTCTTGCAAAAATGCAACACTTTGGCACATTATTAATTCTGCATTTAATTCTTGCGATAGAACTGATCCTTAGACTGTTTTGGTTAAAAGATACAATGCTCAATCGAGGATCGCTTTCTTACCAGTTTACAATAATTGTGTATAGGTGCTATTATTCGCCTTGGTCGATACACTGGAGTTACTAGCTAAACAATAACGTATTCAGTGAGCATAGGCGCCTTTCGTGCGTAGGATTGTATGAAAAGTGGTACAAATGAAGGAAATAAAAAGGATTTGAATGCGCCTTTTTATAAATACATCAGGCTGGCTTTTAAAATATGCCAGGTTAGAGTACGAGCGCGTTTTGAATGTTTATTATAGTGTCAGGAGCAAATCTCATCAGTAATGTGTGCACGCTGTAGTCTCAGATGGTATCAGGACAGTTGTATGTTTAGCACCAGGTACGGAAAACCTCTTCAAATAGTTCCGACAAGTGATCGAATTTGACAGTCCCACCCATGGTAAGCTACTTTTGAACGATCTATTGATTTAAAATTTCTGTTTACGAACCCAATTCTGATTCTCCCCACACATTCCACTTTAGTAGACATTAGCTTGAAAAAAACTTTTTTCCGAAGTCCTTAACATAACTCATTCAGCAGAGATAACCTCAGACACAAGGGAAGGATACGTGCTAATCTGTACGTACTTGTTGGGCAATCGTTGAAGACATTCAATGAGCTCCCGATGCGTTATCTGCATAACGTGTTATTTGAACTCGATGCTTGTGTACAATTAATTTAAACTTCAAAAGTTACCTGACTTACGAATGGAAGTAATCGGGTGTTACATATCACAGATCCACATTGGCTAATAGGGTCACACAGTGGTTCACACAAATTCACTAATCATGAACATGAAGTTCAGATATTGAAGTTTGTAACGAGCACACTTGGGGCAAGCAATACAGACCCCAAACCTGCAGTCCATGAGTCAGCTCAAAAATTCAAAATTTCAAGATTTTGACTAAATTTTTATCCATTAGAGGTTCTACTCGGTTTTATCTACCCCGATAAGACACCTACAATACTGCAGATAAGAGGAGCCATGAACATTCAAATCTTGAATGGGTCCAACTCTAAAAAAGTTTGCCTTTGTTAAGAGGTCATAAGCTTGACTTAAGCTCAATTAAATACAATCCTAGTGACAGAACAAGGGTTCTTCCTTGACTTCAAGAGAATCGCTTTGAATGTAGTTATTCAAGCACAAGATTGATCAACTGCAAGAGATCTATTAGGCAAGACTCAGCTTTTAGAAGTTTAGAAATCGACACTAGATTTTATGTTGGGAAGTACCAAATGTACAAATTCTTGTCAGATTAGCGTAAAACCTAGTCCTCATGAACGATTAATTTTCTTAGGGATTTTATCTTTTGAAGACGAAGAACATGACAACCGTCTGTCGTACACTTCCCAATTTTTCTATTTTTGGGCATTATCGAATACACGATTTTAATACGCTAAGGCTACTAAGAGTCGTTTAGAACAAATTGTTACGTTCTAATGTCGCACAACAAAGCTATACCCGAAACCAGTAAATCACACCTGTCCGAAAATCGCGTAAACGCTACGGGCGGTTTGACGAGAGGCAAAAGTTTGACTTGCTTTACAGCCATGCTTTATCCTGTGCTCTTTACCTATGTGCTACACTGAAAGCCCTCTTTATCAGTGGCTGATGGACATACTCCAAAAGACGACCTCAACAGTTTCACATGCTTGAACTTTTGACCGCCATGATGTGGACTGACTACCACCAACGTGTCAGTCAACTCAGATCATTAATCAAAGCTAAAATCAGTTCCGCGGCACAAGTTCCTCAAGTTGTTTCGAGTAGGCTTCTAAGGTATCAAGGCCATTCGCAAAGGGCTTGTGGCCACATGCCGCGTGATCTTCAATCACCCCACTTCTAGGTTAAATCCTCACTAGAAACTATCACTAGAAGGCTAGTGAGCAAATATTTGTTGGGCAGCAACTAGTCTACAAGTATTGTAACTACCTGCACGTCAACATGATAATCTTGTCCGATTATGCCGACTTGAACCAAGCAACTCTTATAAACGCTGTATATAAACGCCCCAAAAGCTGGCCGAATTCAAAACTGTATTTCAAAAAGCGCCACATGTATCACAAGACGTGATGATGAAGAGCTTGATCCCCCGTAATGTCTCACGCTTAAAGTGCTCCCACAGCCAATAGTTTGCCCCAAATGCAAAGTGAATCGTGACCCAGTAAATACTGTTACTACGCTCTTGACAAACGAGAACCAATGTGCTCCCACCTTTCCCCTGTTCTGATTCAAGCCAATTAGTATGCGAAAAGGTCGCTCCAATTGGAGCAGGCTTAACACCACCAGGCTTCGGTGTCAGGTGTATCTGTTGAACTGGCAACGAAAGCCTTGAGTTGCACAGGTTTAGCCGCTAAGCGGTACAACAAATTGATGCGTGACAATGATCACAGACCGTTCACTTTTCATCAAGACTAGACAAGGCACAAATACGTCTGCTGAGCCAATCCATTTAAGATAACTGGTGAAATCTTTTCGTTATCACGGAAAATAGCTTTGATTCTACCTTACAATGTGTATAGAAACCGGATCCATTTAAATGTCAACTCAACATCTTACAAACCAACCCCTTACATGGAGTGACAACATTTAGACGAAAGTAATATTTGAATACTTTGGTATAAAAACGGGTGAAAGCAAGCGTCAGTAGATATGTTTGACGCACATGTCATAATTTCAACCACACCATCACTAGTACTTGCAAACATCCTAAGAATGAAGTCAGGAAATACCAGTGGAAGGGAACAAGGGGCAGAAGAGTACAATTAATAATGATGGCAATAAAAGGATCAGTGAATTTTTACACAAAGCAAGTAGACACAAAGCAAGTGCTGCGGTGAGTTCAAGAGCAGAAAAGAGGCAAATTAGGTCCTACCGTTTACATTTTGACTGAGCTGACGTCATGGCCGCCGTCTTAGCAGCCTGAGCTGCTTGCCTTCGGGTTGTGATGATCGGTTCGAACGGGAGCTAAGAAATAGTAAGCCAAATGAGTTCTTGCCACCTACTATAAATCATTGGGCAAGTAAATATCCATATACACCAAAGCAACTCACAGGAGAATCACGATCAGCACTCGTGACAGTGCTGGCGCTTCTTTTTTGCTCGGGTCCTTCAGGAGTGGGAGCGGGTCGCTTCCTGGGGGTGGCTTCTTCTGTTTGTGAAACATTAGACTGGACTGCAGACGACTGGGCTACGACGCCAGTGGAACTAAAGAGACGAACTGACGGAATCGAATGCTTAGTGGAGGGAGAAACTGCAAAACGTTGAGGACTGCTAGCGGAGGTAGCGAAAGACAGGGATGCTGCGGCTGCTTTCTGTGCGGAGGACAAGGGTGACTGGGCTGGAGAATAGTCAGCTGAGAAACTCCGAGAGTTTGGCGTAGTAGCGGGCGACTGATCATCTGATATCGGTTTTGAAAGCCTAAACAAGGTTTGTGGGGCAACACTTGAACAGACTATTCCGTAGACAACGATAACGTGCTGTGACACATAAATACAACAGGACTTTAGAGAATCATTCAATGCCGAAGGTTCAGACAACCGTTAGATTGGTGTCACAATGATCTTCAGGTAGGACAATGAGTTAGGAAAAACCAGCATAAGTTTCGGCCACAACCACAAACTTGAAAAGATGAAATGCTGTGTGAACACATTCCAAAAATAGGTTAGGGCTTATTGACCGCCATTAGAGCAAATCACAAAACAAAATTATCATCGTGTAAATCCTAGACTGCCACCGAATCCACAGGAATGTTAAATAAATCACAAATACTAATGTGCCGATTGCATAAATTTGCAACAATGGCAAGCGGAACTCACGCATTCAGACGGGATTCGATAAACTTGCTGTAGTCAAGGTACGGCATCACTTTGTGGCGTGCGAGCTTTCGGCACCACTTTTGCACGGGACATCGTGATCGGGCGCAAGCACACTTGAGAGCATACCGGCATGATCGATAGTCAAAATCGAAAGGGATGGTTAACTCGACCCCTGGCATAAGTTCCTGTTTGGTCCTTATTATTATGCGCAGCTTGTTGCATACAACGAAATGGTCCAACTGAAAAAAAAATGTAAAAAACACTCGCCTTTGTCTTAACTAAACTGCCACTACATTCGCTCGACCAGTCAGCTATAGTCATTACAAACCCCTGACTGGTATAGCCGATCTCGTGTTTACGTTGGAAGATCTTACGGGTGCGTTGCCACATCTCAAGTCTTAGCTCACTGGAAGTGGCAAGTGGTAACCAAAGTGAAACTGAACAGAGAGGGCATGATGGCAGTCAACAACAATGAAAACAAAACCAAATAACGTTTAGTGGCTTCCAAAAGCGCCCTCAACTTCACCAAAATGAAATGAGGAGACGAATAAAGGCAAGCATGACAGACCGTCAAACCTGGTACAGACCGCATTCATAGAAAACATTAGATAGCCGTTTTCTAGGTATCAGTCTGAACAAAGGCAACAGAAGACTAAAGTCATCACACCCGGATAGGATATATCAAATTATGAGAAAATGTTACTTACAAAGCAATTGGGAATACATGAACGACGAATAAAGCGAGCATCATTTCCGTATTGAGCAGTATTTATTGCAATCGCTCGGTCACCAAAGTTGTGATAGATCATAACGTAACGATTGTATCTAAAATGAATATGGTATAAAGGTGTATTGGGGGCTGAAAATTGCGTACAGCATGCACTTTTGAAGCAAACAAAACAATTCCTGCAGAATTAATCAAAATGCTACGGTAATAAACACGTGAAGTAAGTCCTCATCAGATAGCCCCTACTTCCCCGCTTGTCATGTTTGCCACACCTTTGGTAGAAATAACTATTCGGACAGAGATTTTGGTAAATTAGTCATGAAAGCAAAATAATAACCAATGAACATGGGGCGAAAATAAAACGGTGTGGGCAGATTGAACAAAAAAGATAAGGGGCCTAGGATACTCCAGAACTGACGTGGTTGTCTGAATTAAGTAATTTAGAACACTTGCAAGGCATGGCATCAAACACGTGAATCAAGGACCTTTATTTACACTAAAATGGTACTCTGGAAGGACATTATTGAGTGTGTCCGTGATACATCTGTTGCGATGGCTACGCAGCATATTACTTCACAACTGAATTTAGGATAAAAAAACATAAATAAACATGCCATCTCCAAAATTTCCTATTGTGCTTTTGAGATTTCAACAAAACCAAAATTCAATAAGAAATTTTCCAATTTAGATTAGCACTAGAAAGAACTACTGAGATAACATTAATTTTATCTTATAAGTAATGAAAGCGAATTTACGAAGGCAGGGGTTCGAGTGATCCCCAAATATGGTGCGCCAAAGTCGATTTGCTTGCAAAGTTAGGCATTAAAGGAACACCAGTTTTTGAATTACAAGAACCATGGAACCAATTTATACAAGTCGAAAACCGAATGGTCCAAATTCCAAATTCTTTCGAGACTTTCAAATCGTCGTTAACAAATACGAACCACTTTACTCGTTTTAAATACTATAAGTGCAGATCTTACTTCGCCTAAAAAACTACCATGTCTTCGCCGACTCCAATGGATTATTCAACATCGCGGATACTTCACGAACTGTCAACGAAAAGTCTCGATTGCACTGGAATCAGAATCAGGTAAAATTCCAATTTATATTGCAGAATTATTCCAGAAAATAATGGAAACACTACTGTGCGATTGCGCAAAATTTGTTTTAATCATGCATTAAACAATGGTGCAGTTAATGTAAGCACTGATATGCCCTACCGAAGCACTAAAAATGTCAATTCAAGTAACGACGTCCGACTAAAGCTGGCACAAAAAGTCTTGCGCCCATGTTCAAAGAGTCTTTAGGGCATTTAGTGGGGAAAGCAGAAGAAAGACAAGCCAGAACAGCAATAAAGGTTTGATTTTTAAAGTACACACATAAACGTAGTGCGCAAAGTAGGAGTGGACATACTCGTTCACTGGGTCGACAAAATGTTCATACTCATCAAGAAGCATGAGATTTCCCCGAATTTCTGTCACAACTTCACCCTTTCCGAGACGAGCCGAGGCTTCAAGGCCCTAAATTGAATAGCGACATACAGTGCTTAGCATATAAACATGACGCCTTAAACAGATGTTAATTAGAAATTGATACAACTCATGGAAGCCCAATGAGAAGCATGGTCATTGCATACATTGGGTTAACTGAGTGGGAAAATCTCGTGGCGGCCAAGAACCGACGTGTGTTCAAGGCAATAAAGTTACTAATGAATTGCATACCCACCACATGACCGGAAAATAAAACGCTCCCCGTGACCCACAAAGCCTGAAAACCTGGGTTTTGTAATGGGGTTTAAAAACAGGGTATATTTGAGTTAAGTACCCTGGCCAAGCAGAATAGCAACTTCGACTGACCTACCTTGTCGTTATGATCAAACATCACTACTCTGCAGAGTGGGGTCCTTCCCAAGCAGGTAGGAGGGAGTCTCTGAATCCGCTCTCGGCCGCCAGCACTACGAACAAAAAAGGTAGTGGTCTACGACTATGCGAACAACAGAAGGCACAAAGTAAAGAGTCCAGTTACACGATAACCGAAACGTCTAAAGGGAGAACTGAGAACTCAAAATTACAAAGACCTCGTAGGCTAAGCTTACCAGATTGTGCGAGAAGTGTTAATCCACAATGTCACGTGTTTACGACGGTGATGGTTAAAGTAAAGTTCAAATGCTTAAGATGGAAGTAACAGAATAAATCAATGGTGGTATTTAGAACCATGTACGTAACAATGACAACAGCCGCTTAAGGTCATCTGTTGGATGAAACAGAAAAACCACAAATACCCACTGAAATGTGCAATAAAATTAGTAGTAGCAGTACACTAATAGGTATGCGGCCAAAGTTATGAAAATAGTGAAGTATTTACATGCGCTGAGCGATGAAAGCCAAGAGATTCTCGGAGTAGACGCTCACATCTGCCTCCTTGTAGTCTTTCGCCCACGCGGAGCCCAATGTGGAAGGGACAACTGCTCCTCGTCTGCCTATCGACTTGCGCAGCGGGGAATCAGGGAAAAGTGATCTTCTAAAAGTTGTCAAGCGTTTTATTTAAAGAAGTCAGAGCCGTGGAGGACGCTAGCGTCGCCGAGAGCAGGCCAAATCTGCATACATAAATACACGGCATAATTTCCAAACCTTTAACACTAAAGGGAATTGGTGGTACCTGGTGGAAATAATCAACCTAAAGCAACGGATTTCAGGAAAGTCATTTACGGGATAGGTTTTAATAAGCAAATTGATTGAGCTCTGCTGAATTTTCGCACAGAAATCACAGGCGGCAACGCGCATAAACCAAAGCACCAAACTAACTTGATCTTTTTCCTACTGCCAACTCCAGTAAAGTCTCTGCCGGCCATCATGGGACTGCTGGTTGGAGTAGCATCTGCCGATGTTGTTGGCGTCGAATGCGAAGGTGATGGTTCGCCGTCACCGTCCACAGAGTATACTTTCATGTGGTGATGATACGAAAGCTGGAAAGGAATGTCCTGCTTCATCGGAGTGCTTGCTGGAGTACTGAAGGGACTTGGAGTTTGAGTTATATTGCTGAATGGACTTTCTTTGGATTGAGTCGCATGACCTAAGCTTGCTGTGGCCGAAACACGGATAGCCTCAGTGTCGTCTGATAATGAAAATAAACAGACAGTAAGATAATTCATCTAATATAGAAATATCGATTTGTAAGGCAACGGGCAGTGAACAGGGATGGTAGCACAAAATCACACATTGTCAAATACAGTGTCTTAGGCTTTTCTGCTAGATTCTAATCAGTAATAAATTTAAGTTGGGGAAAAGTGAATACTAATATCATTTACCGAATTACTACATTAGACCTCCAGCTGGTCGGCCAAATCAGATAGGTAACAAAGCCCTTTAATTACTCAAATCAAATCACGTAGCTTTTAACGAAAAAATCACAGCGAGACGTTTCAAGAAATTTTAGAGACGCCATAAAGTTTAAAAATAAGAGAAATGCATGACTTTTAAAGAAAACTCGCACTTTATTAAAGTCACACATTCGCAAGCAATGTTTTTTAAAACCTAACCACCGTTCATTCGTTATAAAGGAAGCCATAACATTATGCTTTTGAACTTTGACAGTTTGACAGGTCTTTAAGAGAACTTTCTTCAGTCGGTTAGCACCGGTCATGGAGCACAACCGAACATAAATCGACGTGTGCATTTTATTTCCATAATGCCTGACCTGGAAGTGACCTCCTAATGATCTTAATTACAAATTTAAGAAATAATTTGAGAGATGACCTGGTCCAAATCCGCTAAAGTTAATTGCAATTCTGTTCATTTTGGTTGTCGATCAAAAATATTTGGGGATCGTAACTCTCCTAGAAGCAGGCAGGCACTACGAGTTCAGGAACCTATGACAGTGAGTAGGAATATTTTCAGCGGAAATAAAGGAATCAATAGTAGCGACGACCGGACAATATCTGATTTTCCAATTTTGTTCAATGGAATTCCGACAGGTCGATGTGAATCATTGCTAACCGAGCACTAATGGGAGAAGTTAGTGTGCAATTCGGCAAAGCCACCTAATCAATACTTCGTACTGTTTAAAAAGCCTCATCTACCCACAGTGGTAGATATTTGGGAGTATTATTAAGGGAATTTAGTACATGAGTAACAAGGGCACCGGAGGCCAAATGCAACCAACATCCCAAGGTGTCAGACATTAAGAGCGAACGAAAGTGTAATACACTTACAGGAAGTGGTTGTGAGGTCTTGTTTCCGCTTCGACGCTCTCGGAGGAGACGGGATCCGACGGTTCACGTCGGTGCTCTCATTGTTCTGACGAGCTAAGCAGCTCTATAAAAACAACACTGACATTAAGAAATCACTTAAGAATGCCGAACCTAAAAGCACGCCATGATTGCAAATTAAAAGTTGCAGTTTTAAGGAGGCAAAAAAAACACAAAAAAGGATAGCAGGCAACTAAAATAACAGGAGGAGGCATGGCTTCGCTACCACAATAGCATCAACAGACGCGGACTCATGCTTATCGACACCACCAGAACTCAATTCTGATTCGGAAATGAGTGATTTCAAGCAATAAGAGACATGTATTTTTTTATTGTATCGTCTGTAAACCGAGGTGATAACACTTCTGATGAGATGGCAAGTAAGTAATTTCGGCTTCCCAAAATAGTATTCCACTTCTTTAAAATAACCTCTGTCAAGATTGCAAAAGTCACAGTTTTTAGAAGAAAAACCCCAACAGGCTAGCATTATTGAACACAGAAGGACACCAAATTACGTCTCAGTGTGTCCGCAAGAAAGCAATTTCGGAAGTGATCTGGCATTTCCCCTACTACCTTGACCTTGCACTACCTCAGTTTTAAAAAAACTGCATGAGTAGTAAAGCCC